TTCAGTTTCCTTTACCTTGTGTTTCTATCTTGTTGAGGAATGCTCAAGGCAAGCCATTTCCACTGGTGTGAGATCAGTGGACGGTTATGTAATGTTAGTGATGGGACTTTCTGCCAACATTTGTGAAAACAGACATGCTATAAAGTGGTCAGGGATGAGCTTGCTGTATTTGTGAATTAAGGACTGAAATTTCTTATGTACGTTAAGAAAATAAAATGTTGTCATATTGCTTTGAAGGTTACAAAATGGAGTTGGGTTCGTATAACCAATTCCCATGTAAAATGATAAAGTACTGTCCATGGTGAATTTCATATTAATTCACAGACATGTCCATCCTGACTTCAGGTTATTAGTGGCTCTAAATACCTACCCCTCAAGTGCACTACCGTCCTGGCCTTGTCTCTTGCACTTTTGTGTCTTTGAGAATGAAAAGCGTGCACTGAGGAGGCTCTGCTGCTTTAACGTTAACTGTGGAATTACACTCTGGAGGGATTCTTTGGTCGTGTACCTTTCACTAGCCCTGAAATAAGTTTGTTCTTGGGTAATGAATTGTGACTATATTGCAATATGATGCTGTGCACTTGAATATTTTCCATTTTATGAAGAGTTCCTGTCACATGGTTCCTCAAAATGAAACTCCACTTTGGTCTGCATGTGAACCTTTTCGTAAAGCTAGAAAATTTACAGAACAGAACAGACGCTAAGCATGATGCGGATTCCGAGCTTTCAGTACATACCTGTGCTTGCGAAGAAATGAAAACAATGAATTTCAAGTCTGCCCCTGGTTTAGCTACCTCTTTGGGAAGAACTTGGGTCTCTGTTGTGCTCAGCCAAAATCAGAGGCAAACTTCAGCCTCTCCTTATTCAGCCTCTTTGTAGCTGGCTTCTAGGTGATAGTCCACAGTATCGATAGATTTGTGTGTGAGAAGAACAAAATGTTGCTCTTAAGACTTGAAACACTATTGGGAAAATGAAGGGAGCTGGATATTTGAAATAGTTTCTTATTTTATAGTTTTTAATATGTCCTGTTAATTTATCTTGGTTATAATGAATGTTACAAAAAGTCTTATGTGTGGGAAAGCTCAAAATGCACAAAATACGAAGAAAAGAGGGAATAACTGTCTGCAGGGTGTCTCATGTTCTGAAGGCTGCATGGTGGGCAGACGGCTGCCAGTTCAACACCTATAAATTTCTCTGCTTTTCCTTAACATTGTGCAATTGTTCAAACTGCTTACAGTTTTAATGGCTTCTGCTGTTTTTCTGGGGAGAAATTTTATTTTCTAAATGACAGTCTAAGTAGTCAGTACCTGATTTGAATGAATCGAACCAGAAATGTCCTGATAGTGTACCAAACAAGACCTGTGTGTATAATGTGAGTTCTTTCTTTTTAATTTTAGAATCAACCTTGTCCTATGTTAGGCAGCTGGAGGCAAGAGTAAGACAGCTGGAGGAAGAAAATCGCATGCTGCCCCAGGTGGGTGACTTCCAGAAGCTCAGAGCTAGTCAGTGTCATTTGAGTTGCAGCATTTTATTTGGAATTTAAAGTCTCAATTGCATTTTCTCTTAAATGATACAAGTCATTTTGTCAGTAGCCATTCATCAATGTGGAGTGATTACTTTCCATAATGACCATCGTATTATCCAGATTCTTGTGTGTGATACTAAAGGGTACAGATGTCTAAAATGGGAACGTAAAATCATTTTAGAAGGAAAAAGAGAAAATGAAGAGCAGTAGAAAGTGCTTCGATGGTGCTGCTCACATCCATCATGCATGTTGTTGGGGAATATAGAGAAGAGACTCTTATTTAAATGGAAAACCTGCTAATTTATGAGCTAGGGAAAGCTGCATGTAGTTTGCAGATTTCATATTTTAATTAAATTAGTACTTTCTAAGATTCTTTGTGATATAATTGAACTCTTTCAGTGCAACAAAGCAATGACAGTAATTGACAGTTTTTACTTTGGGGCTTAATTTCTTTTCTGTGATGAATGTAAAGTGGCACTTTTTCTGGGATTTAATGCCTTACCATATATTTTACTTGAAAAACTTTTTCCGTGGGCTGATGTCTTGGTGAAAATGATGCTGGTTGAGGTAGTGGTTCTTGGGAAGTATTTTGTTGAGGAGTTGAACAAATCTGATTCTAGGTTGGTTTCCTTTACAGACAGGTGAACAGTAATGTATTTTAATGTTCTATAAAATGGAGTGTTGTAAACATTTAGTCACTAATGTTCTTTACACATTCTGATGATGATTTCTATTTCATAAGTGACGAAGAGTAAATTAAACCTCAAACAGCTAGTCAACAGTAGTTTAAATGTAAAGACAGAGACTATTTATAATTCTGGAGCAGATATATAAACACTAATACAAAGACTTAACTAATAGAAAGGCTTTGGAAAGACATTTTAGGTCTTTTTAATCTTTTGTTTTTAAACTACTTTTGCTCAATTGATGCTGATTTGGGTGGTCAGTACTGCAGGTGAGAATGCCTCTCTCCTTCCATTGGCCAACTACCCGGCTAGAAATCATGAAATGAAATGAATCTTTCTCACCTTTCTCAAACTATACATACGTCAGTACTCATGATGCCAGAAAGGATTATTTGCATCATGAAATAAAACACTAGTAGTTTTTTTTTTCTATGCTGTTCTGTACTTTTCATTTTTAAAATTCCTTTGCCATTTTTCCTTTTCTATTGGATTCACAGTATGACTGTACTAACACCCTTGACTGAAAACATCTAAATTCTCTGTTCCGCGATACCTAAAAAATATAATTCATTTATGTTATATATGGTTATACCATCTCTGAGGGAATTTAAGTGACAAGAAAGAAGGGGGAGAAAAAAAGAAATATGTTTCTTAGTTTTCCTCTGAGTGGGAATTGAGACTCACAGCGCATATCGAATGCCTGCATGTGTGCTGTCTTATTGAAAAAGAGGCACACAAATGGGAAAATAATTACAAGATTGATTTTTTAAAATCTGTGAAAGTGAGTGCTAGAGTTCTTGAAGGGGCACCAGAAGGGTCCTCAACTATACTTGATGTATGTGTGCATATTTAAATACAGAGCACTTGCATAGTTAAGAGTAGAAGAGATTAGACAACTTTAAAAATTAAAGTATTTTTTCCAAATTCATTTGATTTTAAATGCATTGCTATTTTTATCACAGAAGATTGTTATTGTTTTCTTCATAAGGAATGGCTGAGAAAGATTGTTTTATTGAATCTAAAATGCCACTGATGTGAGATGCCCTATGATCTTATGTACTATTAAGAAGAAGGATGTTGTCAGCTATACTGTGTCAGACAGATTCTTGCTGATTTCAATGATATTAAATTGGAAAAACAATGTCTTAGAATTAAACAACTTTTTACATGTCCAAAGTATTTTAATGCAAAGAAAATCTATTGTTTGAAATGCATTATTGGACATATGCAAAGAATATGTTAGATCCATCTCAGTTCAAAAACATATCTGTTAAATTTCTGTATTTGAGAGGGTGGCCTTCATTTATAGCTATGGTAGACATGCTAGAACCACCATTTACAACTACCTATATAAACACAACTGAAATGAACACGGACAGTAGATGAGATCTGAGGATGGAAGATGGGAAAGGGATCTCAGCTGTGGAAAGCATGTAAGGTGAAACCTCATGGAGGTCCGAGACTTGGGCTGAATGACACAAAGGCATATTCATATTATTCCTAGATGTTTATTGGTCCTAAAACAATCATGAGATCTCCCTGCAGAAACTATTTCTGACAGCATGATGTTAGCTCATTTGCAAGGTCAATTCAATGCCACCAGCTGACATCCCTGCATAAATTAGTCTCAATATCTGAGTGCTTGATTTTCAATGATAAGAGCTTGCTTACTGTGCCTTGATTAGAAGGTATAATATTTTACTCTCAAATTTATAAATTTATATCCACTTGTCTTTGGATAAACAGGAGTAAGAATATAGTTGGATAAACAGGAATAAGAATTTAGTTGGCAAGTATAGCAGATGTCTTTTGTGGCTGTAGCAAGGTTCTTTGCTGTTTAGTATTTAGACTAATTAAGTAAAGCATTTTTCTGGATGAAGAAATCTCTTTAATGCTTATTACTTTTATTCCTCATAGAAAATTGCGTATACTGAACAGAGTCACAACTTTGCCCTAGCAGTGCATATTTAAAAACAAACAGATGAGTGTAATAAATGCTTGTGAATTTCTCTCTGGTTAGGTGCAAAGGTTTCCATTTCTTGATTTGTAAATGATAAGGTTCCTCCCAGCTCTTATATTTTGTAATTAAAGCTTGGTTCCAATCTTACACCCGTGCAAAGTTACCAAGTTACAGAATGAAGGGGTTTTTATTCAAGAGCAGATAGTAAAATGCAGTGAAGACTGAGTGTGGATCTATCTGGTGGTGAAGAGGCGCTCACAGGAGGCATCGATGAAATATCAGGACAGATGCCACGGCAGGTCATCACTCAGTAAGCACAGAGCTCTCTGCTCTGCCATGATCTTTACGACATCCTCCAAGGATCACTGAACTGCACCTTAAGCCTAGTTTGTAAACACAATATTTCAAAGGTATCCTAAAGTAAGAACAATCTCATTAATTTCAGAAAATGCAGTATTATTTGCTTGATATTATTTGAAAAGAAAATGCTTTTCTATTTATTTCATTTTTTTTATTTTGCAAGGAAGACAGAATGAGCCCTACCTTCTTGACAGATTTTTAAGTATATATGCTACAGTATTCTTATCTCTAGGTATGATGTACTTTAGATCTCCAGAACTTATTCATCTTGCATAAGTGACATTTTATACATGTTGATTAGCAACTCCCCATCACCTCCTCTTTCCCTCCCCCATCCCAGCTCCTGGCAACCACCATTCTGTTCTTTGCTTCTATGAGTTTGACTGTGCTCCATACCTCATACAAGTGGAATCATGTAGTATTTGTCTTTCTGTGACAGGCTTACTTCTCCTGCCATTTGATCTAGCAATCCCACTTGCAGATATTCACCCAGAAGAATTAAAATCAGGATCTCAAAGAGATATTAACACTCTTGTGTCTACTGCAGAACTATTAACAGTAGCCAAGATATGGAAGCAACTTAAATGCCCACCAACAGATGAACAGATAATGAAAATGTGGTGCACACATACAGTGAGTCGTTACTCAGCCTTATAAAAGGAGGGGATGCTGGCATTTGTGACAATATGAATAAACCCTGAAAACACTTTTTTGAAAGCCGGTATAAATGGCAATTAAAGGTCACCTGGACCTTGGATATTCTTCCTTGAACACATACACTCATATGAACATGTTTTACAAATTATATTGAAAAATATTTCAAAGGATTGCATCTGCCCTCTTGTAATGCACATAATGCTGAAACTGCTCAGACTGGTCTGTCAGCTCCACTATGTACATTTTTAATATGCTGTGAACCCTCAGTGAAGACTGTGTGTTACTTAAGTAAATGTAGATGCTGTCTATGATATTTTGTTACCTTGTAAATCCAATGAGGTAGAGTTACCCACAGTGTCATAAGCAGGCACTTATAAATAAAAGACCCAATGTGGTATAAAGTTGTAGTTGTAAGGAATTTGATATCAAACTTAAAAGGAACATACCTATTTCATGGTTGCATTTACACATTGACACAAACTTGGCTCTAGATATAGAGTCATACATTTTCAAAGCTGGCTAGAACCTTACCTATCACACTGGACAACCTCCTCCTTTAGAAAAGGCATATAAGGTTCACAGAGTTTAGGAGTATAGTCCTGGTCAGATAGCTAATTACGACAGACTCAAGCCAAAATGTTGGCCTATTCAGTGTTCTTTCTGGTGGACACACAGAAATCATTTAATCATTTCATACCATTAACTTACCGCAGTGTAATTAAGCTACTAAATCTATTTTTATCTTATTGTCAAAATCTTTTTTTTTAACACTTATCTTAAAAATTCACATTGGACCTGCTTAGCCATCTAAGATTTGTTAGACACTTATCCTTTTCCTGCTTAAGGGAAAATATTAATAATAAATAACAAATTGTTAATTAATAGTAAAAAGCCACAGTATCTATCTGAAATGAAAGAAAAATGCATTTTACAGAATCTTCTCCTCCCTGACACATTGCCCAAATCCTTCAGGATCATAAAGTTTTATTGTAGAAGCACACAGACCCTTATCTGCATGAAAATCCATACTTAACAGAGTGTGGTCAGAGGGTCTTTGTTCAGATGTTTTGGAGGTAGGTGGATAGGGAAACATAAGTTACAGGAGTGGTTTTCAAAGCATATTCCCATGACATTTGCTGTTTTAGCCTAAATTGAAAAACCTTGCTTGGATCGCTTTATCCATTCCACTGTCCTATTCTTGATGGTCACAGAGACTTTTAATGCAGACCTAGCCAATATGTGTATGTGTTATGTCTGCAAGGCAGTCTGTTCGATGAGAAGACATC